ATGTGAATGAGTTCTACCCAGTAAAATATGAACAGAAAAGTGATATGAGCCTATTTAGGCCAAGACTTTTAAGAAGTGAATATGTATCTACTATGTTCTCTTTCTTTCTTGAATAGATGCAGATGACAAGGAAATCCTAGGTGATAATGGAAGCACAAAATAGAATGAGCCTGTGTCTCTTATTTACTACTTTGATGAAAGTCAGTCAGTGCCAAGTAGGGAAAGTTATTTTATATTTGAAATAAATAGCATAAGGAAGTAAATTGCTACTGTATTTGACCCACTTTAATATTTTAGGGTCTATTTATTGATATAATTGACATTTCACTTATTTATATATGTCAGATTGAATTGTGTTCTGCCAAAATTTGTGTCAACTTGGCTGGGTGATGATTCTCAGTACGTTAGATGTTATGTAATGATGTAATGTAGCAGTTATGTAATGAAACCCCATGATGTGATAACCGAATCAGGTGTAAAGGAATGATCAAAGGTGGGTGACAACAATTTTAGTCCCATCCCAGCCCTGAGCTTATGTAAGGGGAGTTTCCCTGGGGTGTGGTCTGCAACATCTTATACCTTACAGGAGGTAAAAGGAAAAAGAAGAGAGCAGAGAATGGGAACCTACTGCCACCAAGAAAGAGGAACCCAGAGCAGAACGCATCCTTTGGACCCTGAGCTGGGATCCTAGTCAGAATAAGAGACACAAAGAGAGAAAGTCTTCTCCTAGAGCTGGCACTTTGAATTCATTATTTTAGTCTCCTAAATTGTAAGAGAATACATTTCTCTTTGTTAAAGTCCCCATTTTTGGTATTTCTGTTGTAGCAGCAGTAGAGATATAAGACGATATATATAACAAACCCTCCTTATTGTGATCGACTACACTCCAGTGTGTTCTATCTCATTTATTGGAGGCAATCTGCAATTCATCATAAGTAACTATAATATCCACTTAGACAAACTATCCAAAAGCAGTTTCTCAGATCTTTGACCTTTAGTCTAAGTTCTTCCTCCTCTATTCCACTCATTCTCAAAGGAATACTTTGAAATTGTCATCTTACAATTCCTCCATTTATAGAATTATTATCTACAAATTTGCTGTATGATCATAACTTTCTCTCCTTCCCACCAGTTTGTTCAAATGCTCTCATGGTGACTATTCACTTGTTTCATTGAGATAGCTAGACTACCTTTACCTCCTACCTCATCTACCTTATATATTCTATCATTTGAGTATTATCCTGAACTTCCTTAACCTGTCAAGTTTCACCACACCTCAGAAGGAATGTTGGGCAATCTATTTCCATAGTAATACCACCTCAGAAACCCAAGGAGAGGTTGCTATGAATTGAAGCTGACTCAATGGCACATAACAATAAGAACAATCATACCTCAAACCTTCAGGAGTTGAGTTATCTGCTTTTTCTCTGATTTGATACCTAGATAATATAGCACTAATGAATATTATCACACACCAGGAAAGACTAATTACCGTATAAATATATCATCACTAATTAAGGAGCTATGGTGGCATAGTGGTTGTTTTAGTTATGTGGTGCTGCTCTGACAAGACTATACCACAAATGGGATGCTTTAACAAACAGGAGTTTATTCTCTTATAGTTTTGCAAAAACGACAAGGAGGCCACATGTTCTGACCTCCTCTAACCCTACAAGGGGAAGGCAGGATTACCAGCAGTAACCCAAGGCCTATTACTGCAAGGCCAGACATGCTGCCTCCCTCCAGCCCTTTCACCAACCGTTCCTCCCAAGGCACCCAC